CCTTTTTGTTGAGTTCAGAGCCAAAAGTGTAACTTTTTTCTTTAAAAAACAAAAACGGTACATCAAAAAAAAATTAACCAAAAGGGCAAAATTGCTCTTGACGGAGCGATTTTGTTTTGACAAAAATTGACTCCGCTCCTCTAAAAGAAATAAAAATCGCTGCCGATTTTTTCAAAAAAATATTTTTTCTTTAAAATCGCTGCTATAACAGCGTTTTTATATATAAAAAAATTAAAATAGCAGCGATTTTGTTTAAGAAATTAAAAAAAAAAAATACTACCCTTGCAGAGAATTTAATAAAAATAAAAAAAAAAATTAAAACTGAAGCCAGCGATTTTCATAAAAAGCTTTTTTTTTTTAAAAATCTTTACCCTTTCAGCGATTAAAATGAAAATTAAAAAAAAAATTAAAACTGAAAATCGCTGCTTCGGCAGTGATTTTTTCTTTAAAAAACTTGTTTTTTTTAAATGGCTGCCGCCGAAAATTTATGTAATTTAAAACTTGTTCTTTATGTTTTTTTTTTAATTCCTTAACAAAAAATCGCTGCTATAGCAGCGATTTCACTTTTTATTTTATTTTATTTTATAAAAACCCTACTATAGCAGCGATTTTAAAGAAAGAATGATTTTTTTTTAGAAAATCGCTGCCAAATGCAGCGATTTTTATTTCTTTTAACGGAACGATGTCAAATTTTTGTCAGAAGAAAATCGATCCGTCAGGAGGGATTTTGCCCTTTGGTTAATTTCTTTTTTGATGTGCCCTTTTTGTTTTTTAAGGAAAAAAATGACCCTTTTAGCTTCGGACTCCCTTTTTGTTGATATTTTAATTCATTAGAGTAATAAGGTAACTATATTGTCAAACTACAAAGGATATAATGTTTTTAAAGAATAATAAAAAATGTTAATAATAAAAAATGAATTAAAAAAATGTTAATAATAAAAAAGGAATAATGTGACATGGCATCCTATTAGGAGAGAGATAATATTTTTTTGTGTCAAATATATTTTGAGGAAAAAGGTAAAGTTGGGTGATATTGTGGTCCTAAAAACAAACATAAGTGATATTCCTAGGTAATTTCCCAAACATGGGTGACTATCCAGGGAAATTACTCCTTTTTTCTTCACTATATTTTTTGGTACATATTTTAGTTCATAATTTGGCACCATATAATTCAGAATAAGCTACCGACAATCGACAAATATTTAAATGAATAAATGTTACACCTAGGAAGTGCTCCCTTTCTATTTCTATTATTTTTGTGTTGGTGGACTACAATCTACATAGCTTTTTGAAGTAGGGTCATAAAAAAAACAATTATGGATGAATATCATATTTTCAAGGGCCTACGTTAATACTTATATATGTAAAATAAAATAGTGTGGGTAGTATCTTGATTACTGTCCCTCTATGCTTGATCTACTATCATACAATATAATTCTCTCATGCTGTTATAAAATGATTATCAATCAGGGTTATCGTGGAATGATTAGAATTATATATGTGATTTTTTAATCAGATTTATCATGCTTAAGTTTTGAATATGATTTTTTTTTGAAAATGTCGTTCTAAAAAATGCATGGATTTTGCAATGTGTGGATTCAGATTATTTGGGCTTCAATGTCGGTATCAAAGTTCGATTGAAAAATAAATAAATAAAGAGAGAAGTACGGAAAACACCCCTAAATTAGGTACAAATTATTAGTTTCATTTCCGAATTATTGACAGCTTTTAAAACACTCATTTACTTGACTAACTAAACTTAAATACACCCGATTTTTACAAGAATTTGAGACCACTTGCAATGTCATGTGACAAATTGGAGGTGTATCTAAGTTTAGTTATATAGAAATGTGACAAACAAGGATATATTCCATGAATTAAGATATTTCAGGTGAATATTTTATCAAATTTATATGTGATAAGTTAGTTATTATTCTTATCTCAAATACCTAACGATAATTTTGAGAACTATACTAGATGGTCATGATGGAACGACTGAGTTAGTATTGACCCCACGTGTGCTAATATATGAATAATTTTGTCTACTACTTCTATCTACGACCCAAAGACCAGAAGCACTAGCTAATAATTTATACTCCTGTCGACCCCATCTTTTGATTTCCACTTAGCCATTGAGTAGTTCACACCTCAATGTTGTTGCTTTTTACCAAAAAATAAAATAAATACTCCATTTGCTATTCGAAACTACTTATTTGATTAATTAGAATTTATGTCAAATAGGTTTATTGAGCTAAAATAATTAAGATTTAAAAAAAATATAATGTGATATTATTCAATTTATATCAAGACTCTATAAGTTTTTTCAAAGGCCTCACAAGTCACAACAATTCATATACTTTCCCATCTCACAAAAAATCAAAGGCTATACATTGCGCCTCATGCCATCACTTCACCATGTTTATATTGTCTTGTCGAAATAGTGACACATTTACTAGTTATTGCACTAAAGCATCGCAAAGATTTCGTTGAGGTTTAAACCCGTACGGTTTTTTTAATATATAAAATAGCATAAATATACTAAAAGCATCATCATTGAAGAGTTTTTCATTCCTAATGTTTGTGAGAATGGAACTTGTTCACACAGCCAACAAAAAATTTTCAGTAATAGTTTTTTCAATCCTAATGTTCAAATCTAAATAATTATTTTTTTATTTGTAGTGAAGAAATTTTAATCATAACGCTGAAAAAAAATAAAAAATAATCATAACGCTGCGGCTCGACGAAAAATCTTTATAATTAATAAGTCATGAAAACAATAGACTAAGAAAAAGTATAGTAACAGCTCATATGTTAGAATCAATTTCAAGGCATTATTGGGTCCTTAAAACTCTAATTAAAAAGATAGGAAGGGCTCCACGCACAAATTAAAGTTGGTCATAAATTATCAAATTTTGCTAGGTGATTAATTAAGATAGATACTACAAGCACAATTAAAAAGAGCAGGTCCACCTGACTCCCAATTTAAGCCCATCTGATTAGTGGAAAGATAAGTCAAAAGCACAAACACTATTGATGATAAACACTTTAATTAATTAATCTATTGAAATTTTAACCACTATAAAGTGTTTCCCCTTCATTAATCTTTTATTTCTGAACCCCCACACTAAAATTGGTGAGTTGGGTCTTTCATGAATGATACTGGAATTGGCCCAGGCCCAAGACCACAAACAGGCTCATTACTAGTGGGTCGGGCCAGTACAGGTTAATCAAGTTTTTTTTTTTTGAGAAACTTTCTCAAATAGCCACTATAATAAACTTAATTATGCCCCATAGATATAGTTTGCATATTTACGGGTTGTAGCTACAGTTTAAGCTGCCTCGTTTGTATAATTCGCAAGTACATTTGTATAATTCGGTTATTTTTGTATAAATTCGAAATAAACAATTTATACAATTACAAACATCAAAAGTGTAAACAGTTATACAAACTTCGACTTATACAAAAGTTATACAAATTCCGAATTATACAAACGTGCGAATTATACAAAACCAAAAAGTTGAGCCGCGTAACTATCGCTCAAAGTAGGTCGCGAATTGTAATTAAGGCAAACTATAGCTATGTTAAGTAATTAACTAGTATATGTTTGCTTATACGCGTAATTTTCCTCTTCTTTTTTTTTGCGGGATCTGTACACAAATCTCATAGGATTAACAATTAATTACATAAATCCCTACATTTTTTCAAATTACAAAAATCCCTTAAATTTGGTGGAATCTGGATACAACCCAAAATGTCTTGATACATCATGTCACGATTTCAAATACATCATCAACGTCCCGATACATCACGTAAAGTGATGTATCCGAGAATAGGAGAGAGTAGGAATTTTTGTAATTTTTTCAATTGGTTGGAATTTTTGGAAAATAAGGTAAAATAAGTTGTATATTTAGATAATTTTTCCTTCTTTTTTTTTGTGGCTGATGCATACTTCTTAGAGAGTCTAATGTACTACGAATTAAATTTTTGCAAGTTATTACAAATGTTAGATGACGATAATTTAATATTTTATTTATAAGGTTGAGCGATACATGAACAAAAATGATTCGTACTATAATTTTTGTTTTTAAAGAAATGCATGTAAGGTGATGATTTATAGTTACAGATAGGTGGGAATATTGGACATATACTTAGAGAAGTAGAAAGAAAGTTATTGACACTGTGTTGATTAACCAGGACTCATCACAAGATTTAATTAAACTGTTTTTGTCCTTGATTCACCAACCAAAGAAAGGAAGATACAAATTAATTGACATATTTTGTACATGTGTAAAGTTGCTACTTGATCAAACCTTTGAACTTTTATACACCGTCCATAGTGCCAACAAAAAAATTATGTTACACATGTTACAATCAGTCTAAGTGTAAGCCCAAGGTCCAGATCGATATGGATGTCATACAAACAGCTATTGGGCTGAGTATAGAACTAGAAGGTCTTAATAAATGTTGATTTGGGATTCAGACCCGACCTTCAATTAGAAAGAATAGTTTATGTGTATCATGATCATGTTTAGGCAAAAACTTTATCTGGCATCCTGCTTTCTGTTGGTCTAGTTCCCCATCTCCTTCTTCCGTCAATCCTAGTTCTAACTTACAACATTTTTGCATTTTTCATTTGTGCTTTTACCTTTAAAGTCACTGCATTTACTTTCTGAAATTATAATTAAACTTTAGCCTTATTAATGTAGTTGAGAAACCAATTATATTGTCATTATTGAATTTGAGTTCACTACAATACATCTAGTCATTTAAAAGATAATTACAAATTGCTTATCATAAGTTGTACTTTTCTAACTATATATGTATACTACTAATTAATTAATACCCAATATTTGCTTTAATAAAACAAGCTAAAATTTTATTTGAACATAAGGAAACATATACAGTATAAGGACTTTCAGCATCGTATAGTAGTATCCCTCCAAGTATACGTAAATAATTTTTTCTTAAAACTCAAGTAACCAAACAAATCAATAACAAACACATTGAAAATTACAACAAAGCAAATACAATTACAATTATCAATAATTCCATTATACCATTTTAATTCCCATTTTGCCCTTTCTTCATGCAGACATAGCAATCTTTGGAGTTGCAAGATCGAGTTCACGTGGATTCAAGTAAACTTTAAGTCCATTTTTCATGAACAAAGTCAACGACATTTTCTGTTCAACTTTATGACCGGGAACCGGTAATAGCCGGTAACGAAGCAAAATAGCAGCAGCCACAGATTTCATTTGGAGGTAGGCCAAATCTTTGCCTAAACAAGTTCTCGGTCCACCATTAAATGCAACAAATTTATACCCATCTTTTGGCGGTTCGAACCGGTCTCCACCGGTCGAGAGCCATCTCTCCGGTTTAAACTCCATGCAATCCTCACCCCAAACCGTTTTCATTCTCCCGACCGAGTAAATTGAATAAGTTACTGTTGAACCGGCTGGGACCCACGTGCCATCTGGCAAAACATCATCAGAAACGACATATTTGAAATCTTCAGGGACTGAAGGGTATAAACGTAAAGTTTCGGCTAAAGCCGCTTTGAGATAAATCAATTTATCAGCTTCATCAAAATTCAGCGGCTCTTCAGTCCATTTTTCATGATCTTCGCCGCGGCTTTCCTTTAAAACGTTCGATATTTCTTCAACTATCTTATTTTCCACGTGGCTGTCGTTCATTACGTTCCAAAAGAACCAGCTCATAGCGACAGATGATGTGTCACGTCCAGCTAGGACAAAGTTCAAAGCGATGCGTTTAAGTACATCACTTGGAAATGAATTACCGTTTATGTCCTTTTTCTTCATGAAACGTGACAATAAATCATCTGATGGACTTTCCTTACGCGAATCCAAAGCTTCGGAGATGTAATTTTCGACAACTTTGAGGCTCTTTTGTAACCTTTTTTCAGCTCCAATGCCTAGAAATTTTTTCAACCTCCAAAGAAAGTAAGGGTATAATAGTCTTTGCATGGTGGCTTCAGTGGCTGAATCAAAAGCTATAGCAAATGGATTTTCAGGCATTTTTGGTGAAAGGGTTTCAGGGTCTTTACCAAAAGTAAGTCCACAAATATTATCAAAAGTTAAACGGAGCAATAAATCTTGCAACTCGACCGGGTTTTTTTCCTTTGCGGCTTTATCCAAAATTACCCACAAACGAGTTCTGATGGTCCGGTTTACCCACCGGTTCATTGCTTGTCGTAGTGTCCGGGTTGTGAACTCAAGAGCAGCGGTTTTTCTTTGCATGAGCCACGTGTCACCATCACTGTTGAATATGCCTTGACCCAATAGGTCATCGAATGCATTTTGCCAAGTTGGACCTTTAGGGTAGTTATCGAACCTGATATAGCATATTATTAGCTGATGTAGACATCACGATTATGAATAAATAAAAAATGTACTAGTGAAATAAGAGCATAACAATAGCTACATTTATATGAAGATATTTTGCTATATGACTCATTGTCCTCTTTTGCTTTACAATGTTTTGTAAAAGACCTTCAAGGGACAAAAATGTCATTGACTTGCCAATTTAAATATTTTTTGATGCATATATAATACTCTACAACTTTAATATTCCCTATGCTTACATCCTATTATACTATATGTTCAAGCGATTAATTGATATTATACCTATAGTTACATAATTTATATGATCATGATACGTTTTACATAATATCAAACCTGGTTCGAAGAATATGCTCGATGTTTTTCGGGTGACATGTGACGGTATAAAACCCTTGTTTCCAAGCTAGAAATGGTATGCAAATAGTACACGTTTGATATGTTGCAGATACACCAGTAGACCTTAGATTTTGAGAAATCCAGTCATGAAATCTCCTTCTATTCAAGAAAGTATAAGGGAGGCTACCAACTAATGGCCACACTTTTGGACCACTTAACCTTTGTGCTAGGAGATAAAACCAAAGAAAATATACAGTAATTGCAGCTATTATTCCAGAATAAACTAGTATAGGATCCATTTTGAAAAAATTGTTTCTCTTTTTTTTTTTTGGTTTAAGTGAAGTAGAGAGGAAAAGAGAATGAATGTGTTATATGGAAGAGGGGAGAGTAAGGTTTATATATATATATATTTGTAGAATGTATTAAAGGAAAGGTTTAGGAGAGAGTTGTTGAGAATTTTTATAACTTATGAAAGAAATTAAAGAAAGAAGGTCCTTATTCGGTTGATAGGAATTAATGTAATGAATTTTATTAATTTTCTTACGAAAACTTTACTGACTTTGCTTTGCTTTAGCTTCATATAATTTGTACACGTCTCATTAATTTTCTTGTGCGTTACAATTTTTTTAAAAATTTGGTCATGTAGTACTTGATACAAATTTTAAACTTATTTAATCAATTGTTTGTTTGTTCAATATCTATCGGCTGTTTTTTCGTATTCCAGACATAATTCATAATATATACTATCAATTTGAAAATAATAAAAAATATCATTTGTTCAGGATTAGGATATAATTTGCTTTCTTTAGGTCATAATTAAGTAATTAAAGTCCTTGATACAAATAAATATTTACATCTTATTCTTTCTTCTTAGATTAACTATGTAAATTGTTATCTAAGAAGAGAAAAATGGAAGATAATGTATATTTTCCTCGACCAAACATAATAAATAAAAATAAAAATAAAAAACAAAAAATATTAAGTTTCACATGAGCAGAAGAAGTGGGGAGTGGTTGGGAATCGGTTTAGCTGTGTTGAGAAATACATCTTTTCTCCAAAATCTGGAAAACTATTCTAAAAGGTTTAGTTTCTGCATGCAGAAGATTAGAAAGATTAAATTAGAAGCTTTAAAAAACAACCTACTTAAATTGGTTTTGTTAAAATTTAACCCTTTTAGAGGTCGGTTTGTAGAGATAAATAATAGTTTTTGCTTTCGATACACTGTTACCAATAGGTACATAACTCAAAACCTCTAATTAAATATGACGTCGTTCCACGGTACTAATTACGGTTTTGGCACATGGGGAAGTCTTCCCAAGCAAGAAATAGAGACACACACAATACCACCTTTTACCTCCAACTTTTCCTGCTTTTAACTCTTTCTTAAGAAAATCTTTGTGATTTACAACAACCTTGACTTTTGTAGTATTATAAAGGCATTAGCTGCAACTTACGACATTAGAATGTCATTAAGCAAATGATCACCATATACTTAAACATGTTAGAATACATTATTTCCATAACTAATCCTGTTATTACATCAAAATTTAATTGGAGGTATAAGAAACTTCTAATTAATACTGCAAAGGAAATACAGTTCATGCCAGATTGTTTCATAGGGTATAAAACTTCTTTGACAATATATGTGTACACTCTAATTTATATACTTTTTTGATTTTTTTTACCATGTGTCCAGTATTTGTATTAGGGTCCTACTAAATTTGAATTCGCGCAAAGTAGAGACTATTTCTAGGGGCAATGCTCCAACAAGCATATTTTCCATTTCCAAAAATTCGAATTTGAGACCTCGTGGAAGGAACCAAACTATCTAATTAAACTCTAATTTATATTGGTGGTTTCAGCAGGCTTAAGCTGGCCTGGACTGGAAATTCAGGTCCAGTTCAACACCGCAGTTTATTTACAGCCCAATAAAAGGGTCCAATTAAGTAGTTATCCAATGACATTATATTTAGCTCTATATTTATATTTGAGTAAATTTTCCGAGTATGCACAATTAGACACCTAAATTTGTATAAAATTGAACAAATAAATGTACACGTCATATGTTAAGAGCCGTCTCTCCAGTTTGTCAACACATCACTAATTAAGCTATTAGTAGTTCGGAATCGGTTTAGCTTTGTTGAGAAATAAGGCTTTGCTCCAAATCCTTGAAAAACGATTCTATATGGATTGGAAGGCTTGAATTTATGAAGCCCAATAAAAGAGTATCACTTTCTTTTAAAGATATACTAAAAAGAAAAACGTGTATGGAGAAGGATGGAATAGCCGAAAGAAAAAGAATCATAACTATAACTTCTTACTTTTTTTTGTCCCAATTTAAATGACACTTTTTTGTTAGTTTGTTTAAAAAACAAAACGCATTTTTATATTAGTAGAATTTAAAATACACATTTTATCTTAATGATTTATAGTAACACAAATACTTATGACTTATTTTAAACCATAAATTTCATTTATTTTTTTTATCAAATCAAATACTAATATTACATGAATTAAAAAAAACGAAAGGAGTATATTTTTCTAGTTTTGGAATATAATTGGCTCTACCTACATGTCCACTATGATCACAAAAAATCACAAGTGGTGCAACAAGTTGCCACGTGTCAATTCCTCCATCACATGGCAAGATGACCTCTCAATCTTTTTCCTATTTCCACCTAAGGAAATAAATTACAAATTAAATAGACGAAAAGTTGAATTTAAAATATAAAAAATGGCAGAAGTAGAAGGGATAATAAACTTGTGGAGAACTCGCGCTACATCATACGGCTCATATTCATCCTACTAGAAATCAGATCAACTATATTATCCACATTGGAAAAATCGATTATTGCTTCTACACAGAACCAGAAAATTGGAAAAAGCCCTAATTTTGAAATTCAATGGCGTCGTTGAACTTGTTCGTCACTCCGATAGCAGCCGTAACCACACAACAACATCGAAGAAGAGTATACACGGCGGCTACGGCGTCGAAGAGTTCCGGCGGAAGCACTGAGGAGAAATCGCTTTTGGATTTTATACTTGGTGCATTACAGAAGCGAGACCAGCTATTGGAGACAGATCCACTGCTGAATAAGGTTGAGGATAAGAGTGTAAGCACCACCACTACAGGCCGGAAGAACTCTGTTGCTGTTCCTCCTAAGAAGGATGGCGGCGGATTTGGCGGATTTGGTGGCCTTTTTAATAAGAAAGAATGATTCTACTCTGTGAGTCTGCTTAATTTTTTTTCACAAAAATTCTGCTTCCTTGTATGAAATTTATAATTTACTTCACTCTGTAATCTATTACTACTATTGAATTGAACAATTCATGAGCTACTTGCTTGCTCTGCAACATTGGTTATTTGGTGATGGTAGCTGCATTTGTATACTATAACATACTTTTAATACACATTTCCTCCCAATAAACATCATATCTGTTGTTCTGAACATGTGAGTTCGCACCTCTTCAATCCAGATTGTTGGCTATAAATTGTAAGCTACAAATAAATATGGTGTCTGATGATATTTGTGGCTGATTTTTGAGTTTATTCAAGTTATTGAAATTTGAGGAATCGCTACTATTAATGTATATCTATTTTATTTTGGGAGAAAGTGATGCATAACCTCAGGTACACTGAGTGAGTGAGTGAATGAATTAAATTCCTTAAAAACACAGTAAAGTAAAAGCTCATTAAATTAATACTCGGTTAATTAATAACCTCTCTAAGATAATATTTTTCTTCGTTTTGATTTGGGCCAACGGAAAAAATCATCAATTTCGATAAGATAATAAGATAATGTATTTTTAGAAGATCCCTATATAAATGTATGGTCCCGTTAATGTTATAAATTAATAATACTTTAAAAGTACAAATATATCTGAGACAACTTAGTTAAATATGATTCTATTGTGTTATGTTTTTTTAAAATTTAAATCTAGTTGAAGCTCATCTCTAACTTTTCTTATTGCATCCAAAAATTTTGGTATTGTCTTTTCAAACTGCACCATAAAATTGTGAAGACTTCTAAATACGATAAGTGTTTTCTTACACATAACTGGTTCCAAATGTATTGTATCATCTTCAACTTTATCATCAACATCTTTTTTCAATGGTATCCATAATTTCTTTTAAGCTCTGGACCTCTAAACATGTATCATTTTCACCCATCCAACAGGTTATCGACTCCATTTTATTGCGATAACCAAAATTATTAATCATGACTTCAAGTTTATGAATGACATTTTTACAAGTGAGTTTATTTAAATTCTCTGAGATTTCATCACAGAACGAATTTTACGGTGTCAAAGCACCCTTCAAATTAATAAATATTAATTTATCAATTAAATAATACCTCTACAAAATAATAATATTTCATGGTCCCACCTATATTAATTCAGTGAGATTTTACTGTCTTAAATTTTGTGGTCTCAAATATTTTATCCTCTTCTTTCTGATTTATGTCTTTTCAATTTACTTCCATTTTTTGAATTAAATTCCTTAAAAACAAAGTATTAAAGTTGTAGTATAGTGGTAGATCTCTTTTTAAATTGACACTCATGTCCGGGATCAAATTTCATTGTGAACATTTTTTTTTTAGCTTTTCTTCATTTAGTTCAGGACCAATCTTTCACGCTTTATATATTATTAATTTTTTTAAAATGTACTAAAAAAGTAGATTTTAACCCAAAAAAATCCAAACGTATTAAAAGGTCTCTTGTAACCGAACTAACTTTTTGTACCTATAAACTATATACTACTACTTTCTTGAAATTGTATGTTATTGACTTATTCACAAGTTTATACTTTTATTTTTTAAACCCCTAAATGAAAATTCTGGATCCGAATATTAGCCAGGCCGGAAGCAGATATTGGTTCGAACGATAAGTGGACATCTTACTATTGGGTCCAGTGGAGAATGAGATGGTGACTAGGTCCAGCCCACTAGAGGAAACAAGCACAAACTATTCAAGATAGGGAGATACTAACATAAAATCCCAAATTTCTTTAAGGGATGAAATTGGCAAATAGCTATTTTTTAGACGGCTGATCAAGTTATATTCAGAGTATCAAACACATAAGAAATGAATTTTGTGCCTAATTAAATACGAAAAACTAGAATTTTACTCATCCCAACGATATGGGAAATAACACCCCGTTTCACCCCATGACTAGACGTTTACTGCGTGGGCAATTTAGCTAGCGTTTGGCCATAGATTTCTAAATATTCTTGGCAAATATTATTTGGGTGAAAATTTGGGTGAAATTTCACCATGTGTTTGGCCATAATATTTGGGAAATATATTTCACTTTTTTAGAAAAATATGATTTATACCCATAAGTTTTAAAAA